GATCTATTGCTTTGGTGGAGATCAAAAGCCTCGACGTTTCCAAGCTTATAGTAAATGGCACGGGCATACTTGTCTATTCCGGCAACCAGTGTACCAAGTGAAAGACTCTTTTCTACGGGAAGGAGAAATTTTACTAACTCCCGCGGATCATTGAGTGCTATCAATTCAGAAGCACTCGTGTGTTTGGAAAATTGGATCAAGAACTATTTTATTGGTTTGTAAATGTAAATCAACATGATGACAACGGCCGGAATGGAACGAGAAGAACGAAGAGTTTCGTACGGATTCAGTACAGGTAGACAGAATGTTGATGACACGATCACTGATAATGACCACGATCAAATGTACTTATATGCTCTAATTATTTTGTTTGACTACTGTAGCAAGTTTATCAGATCGTACAGAGCATCCACTGACCTCATCTAACTTTGAACAGGAATTGAACTTGTCTACTTGACAGAAACACGTTCTATACTCACCAACGAATTTTGCAGCTCTGTTGCAATTTATAGAGTGTATGAGATAAGATGTCATGATCGTCTATTACATCGTTAGAAACAGATATGTGAATTTTTCTTTACCAGCGGTGAAGCATCTGTAACGTCGCGAGCCGTATGTTGTCCTTTGTGGAGAGTGCGAGGTGCTCGATGAGTTTAAAACTCCGAGTAGCCAAGCCTTTACAATTCTCTGTTTTAAGGGCTCTCAGCGCTCTAATCAATACCAATATAGAAAGTTAACGGATTTTTTTATTTTAGCGTCCACCCGGGCACGACCGCACGCGTGGCCATGTTCGGTGAGCACGAGACGACAAGGCAACGCGCGAAAAGAAAATAGACTTATTGAATAGTGATGAAGGACCCTGATGTAGCCACACTCGTGGCCCAGCGGCTAGAATTTTGGCGCCGTAGCATGCGTAAGGCTCTGGACAGCAAAACCAGACGTCAGTTATCATCAATCAGCACGTCAGCGGCAATGTAGATCTCATTTTTGCTAATACGTGGCCCACCGGCTTGTATCTTCAACGCCGACGCATACGTAAGGCTCTGGACAGCAAGCCAGACGTTACACCTCTCTCCTCCTATTAGATTAGTCCGCCCTTAGTGATGTTGGTCCCCTTCCGATGCTTGCGCGGCCCACCAGCTTGTATCTGCATTAATGAAGCATACGTAAGTCTCTGAACAGCAAATTAGACGTTGCATCTCTTACAGTATACCTCGATCAGCAATATTACTCCACTTACTGATTCTTGCGCGTCCCACCGGCTTATATCTACATCTTCATCCCTCTAGCAAACACGAGTCGTGGATGAACGAAAAGCAGCCGCCATATTACTTTCTTTGCATCCACAGCACGATCTACAGACGCACGCGCAGCGTGTCCAAGCCCAAGGCAACGCCTCACCTTGGCTGTCACTATAAAGGATTGGCTTGAGCTCAAACGTGAATGATGGAAATCCATTAAAATGTTGTGGTGCACACATAAGTTTTAGACCAGGGCGACCCAATGGATCGCCCTGGACCAGCTGGTCCGGGTCCTGAGTCGGGGTCGGACCCGGACCAATGGCCATAGGTCGGAGCCCTAATTGCAGCTGCTAGACCAGTAGTTTAAATCCCAATCTGCCCGCCTTTTGACTTCACATTGCAAGCAGAATCGAGAAAAGCTGTGACTTATTGTGTAGCACTATGAAGTCATTAGGTTAATGACGAGATCTCGCTCTGAGTTGTTTATTCTAAATCGTAACGTAGCGGTGCTAGATCGGAGGACAACTTGCAGAGGGATGGAGTTTTAGAGGGTGTTAGTGACGCTGTGATGAACCCACGATAACTATCAGCTGACAAAACAAACCTCAGCACGACGCGCGCTGCTGGAAATGGAATCACGAGATGGTGATTCCCTCCCTCAGCGTCGTCCGAATATCGTCTTGGTGTCCCCATCGTATCACGCGTGCACTAGGATTGCGCACGCAGTCTGATCGACCCTTGCGCTTGTCATCTTTAATTTCGTTCCGCAATTTGACTTTGTTTGCACACTACAAGTCATCACATCTACTAGAATGAACGTTAAGTTCATCGCGTGTATTGCCATCACCATTGTTGTCATCCCCTCAAGCTCGAGCCGGCAGGATACGTTGGTGTGCCATGATGGTCGAATGGTACGCGCAGCTCTTGAAAGCATTCAAAACTCCTGCCAGATTAATCGCAGGAGCGAGTATCAAGTCAAAAAATGCTGCGCCGACGTGATTGTTAGCTTGACATGCCCCGAAAGACTAAACTGCAAACCACCTAAAGTTGCGGCAGATGCAATACTATTTTGTCTACAAAATCGGTATATACCTACAATGGATGAGTGCTGCGCGGGGCATTGCTCAGTCAAACATTAGTGGCCGTAGTGTGTCCGTCACCTAGGGGTTTAAGGGATCGATGGTAAGTTCATTAGCGAGTAGGGTTTATTTAAGCTGTCCTAGCCCACTACTTACCCTTTGAGATTTCGAGATGAAAATGCCATAGCTTGAGTACGAGTATGGAATATGAAAGCTACTCCTTGACCCGCCTATCAATTTGCTGTACATGTGTCGCCCTCATTGCTGGGACTTCTATTTCTACTTGTTCGTGCGTTCTTATAAATGATCGCTGTCGTTGCATTGTTTGTTGCTTTGAATGACCGCATTCGCTAAAATGTTTGCTCTGCTAGCAAACAGAACTACACAAGAAACAATTGTCATAATTTATAGGCACTACTACTTTTATTGCATTCACAAGTTTAGAATTGAATGATCTTATTATAAAAATCGCATTAATAAACTAAAAAGATTAACTATTCTAGAGGTTATGCAACCTTCTCAACTTATTAATAATAATTTAATTACTAATCAAGATATAAATTTAAATAATTTTTGATACACTTTAGGGGCGATAGTAAACTGAGTCATCATCTTTATCTTTTCTTTACGGAGGTGAAAATGCAGAAACAGTTGAAATAAAAAATATAAGTATGAGTCACGATTTTTTTGTAGATAAATATGAATAAGACTATTACAGATAATAGTATGCCACATATGTTGAATACTATGATTATGAATGATAATCACATGGTAGATGTAATTTATTCTTTGAGCTGTCCAATACATTACGAAGAAACCTTGGTACATCTGCGATGGCGTAGATAAAAACTTTCGCTGACGTGTACCTCAAAAATCAAGTCGATGTTTGAGAGAATCTTTTCCAATGTCCACAGATATTAATTCTAGATAGTTATAGTAGGCTTCGCTTGCTTACAAACCGAAGCATCTTCTATTCGACTTGTTCGTGGTTGTAAAGCGTGTGTAACGGGGCACCCTTTGTCTGGGTGCCACTGTAACGGGGCACCCTCAAGCTTGTACTGATGACAGTACAAGCTACTTATTCTGATGACAGAATGAGGCAGTGCCGCGTAACTTCACGTACACTGGTACGTGCAGAGGAAGACAATAAGTAGAAGCGAGTACTTGGTTAAAGTAAAAAGTAGGACTGTGTTCATAATTGTCAATGTCTGTTAATAAACCACTGTTTATCCTCATCTGACTATGTCTGAATACAATTGTGTGTATCAACTACCTGCTCACCACTCATTGCGTGCGTATGTCGTGGCGCGTCTTCGTTGGTTGATATAATGGCCTATATCAACCAATTAGGAACTACTCGTAAGTGCTACATAATATTTGTCCTTATGACAATATTCTGAGAATATAACTCTTATAGTTATATTCTATTAACAACTTCTTATAAATTGTTATGTAACGATTCACCCCGTTACATCACCCCCCCCTTAACCATCAGTCACTTTAGTGACTGATTGACTGAATGGATACTCGTCCCAAATCATTTGGGACATGGTTTGCACCTGTCGGTTCGAGTCCACAGTCCATCAGTTTCATCGCATGGTAAAACAAGTCCATGCGGTGCACGAAAAAAAAAGCCGCTGAGAGTGCGTCTGCACGTTTCTGTGCGGACGCCGAAGCAGAAACCGCTGCAACTGACGTTTTATCGGTTGCTGAAGCGACTCAGCCTGTGTCATTTGGTGATGCAGGTGCTCGTCATGAAGACACTCATGTCTTCCCAGAGTATGAGCTCGGTGTCTCATACTCTCCTGATACAGAAGACGGATCTGTATCGAAGGCGGTTGAAACCAAACCGTCTGACAAGCGTGGCATGGATAATGATACGCGTCGTAGCATATTGGTTCGTCTGACGAATCAGATGAACCATCGCCAAAGCGTAGGCGCTCGAGGTCGCAAGACACTCGGGCGCTCACAGTGGTGTCGGTTCTCCTATTGACACCACTTCGCAACAAGGTGCCAGTGCTTCTGTCGACACGTCACAAGAAGAGCGGGACCGCAACGTGTTGCGTCTCGCTCCCGAAAAGAAGGCATGGATGCCCCCATAATCTGTCATGGATCGCTTTTCGGCGACGACGAGTGATCGTTATCGAACACGGTTGTTCGATTCGTCAAGGATCCATCACCTTGACCCCAGTGCGAAAAACTATCGCGCTGAACATGAATTCTTCATCAATGCTTTCTTTAGACATCGACGGTACAGTGGGAATCACAAGCGTGATGGTCCCTCACTACTTCAAGCGTGGAACGCCTACATCCATAACCTTGAGGATGTAGGTCGTGACGTTTGGAACGACAAACTTATCAAAGCTCGTGATTAGTTGAGAAGAGAACCCCGGCAGGTGCACGCTACAAGCTGCATCGTCTGTCAAGGGAGAAAGGATTACCCTGCCTCCCTTGGGGAGACTCGTGCCCATGTTGTGTGAACAACTCTGCACGAGCACCTAAGGAGGCTTACCTCCTTACTAGCCCGTGGTGGCGCGTACGTATCTCTACTGAGATGTACGAAGGGATTGACAACCTGAAATCCCTTTACGACCGTGCCGGGAAGACTTCCTCCGGCGGTCCTTCTGCGGCACAGGATGTGCCGAGTCGTACTGCTCAACCGGACCCAGTACGTCGATCATCAGTTGGGAGCGGGGCTCCCAAGTATCCTAGGATGGGGGATAAGCCGCGCCACCGGACGAGATAACTCGTCCGACGTCCGTTCACATCGCGGTGGTTCAACAGCTGCTCTAACCAGATAGCGCTGGCCACCGCGAGAGTCCTCTAATGGAGGTGGAGGAGGAGGAAAGACGCTCTCTACACGATCATGGGGATCCGTGTGTTCCCGAGAGCTTCTTTGATCGCGTAACCCCTTGCGTTGCACGGCGACCTCGAGCATGAGCGGGACAGGCCTCTTCAACTGGCGGAAACTGTCTTGAAGCATCGAGCTGAGTTTGCTTTTGCTCAGCTTGAGAACGAGAGATCTTTGACATCTCTGTGTAACGAGATAAGGGTAGCTCGTGGGATTGTTGATCGGTCTCGGGATGAGATAACTGCTCTTCATACCCTTGTTGATATCCACCATCTGGAGCACAAGGCTCTCTGCGAGATACTTGAGCGCAAGGGCGTTCTTCATCGGAAGAAGCAGCGTACTGATGGTACGGCTTAAGCCGACCAACGTAAGACGTGGGATGCGTTCGCATCTTACGTGGCAACTTGATCGTGTATGCATTGCCTAGGCGGTGCAATACACGAAATGGGCCGATGTACTTGGGTAGTAGTTTACTGCTACCCAAGTTAGTCACTACATGCTTTGGTAGATTAACCGTAGACAGTAGGACTAAGTCACCTTTATTAAGTAAAAGAGTGTTTGCCCTTCCATTCTTGTCAGCGTTTTGCTTTTGCTTATCCACCGCTTCGGCGATGGAGTCTTGCTCAAAACGGACTCCCATTTCACGAGCCAGTATGAACTCATCTGATGACTCGTTAGCTTTAGTGCGCTGTGAGTGCACTGCAGCAACATCAATATTTTTTTCAGTGAGGGCTTCCGCACTCTCACTGGCATCATCTTCTTCGATATCGATGTTGCCGATATCGGCATCAAACGCAATGACCTCATCGTCAGAGCGTGATGAGCGTGAACCAAATCGGTTTTTGCTCGCGCGAGTCTTTCCCCCTTAAACCAGAGTTACACTTTAGTAAGGTGGGTACGTGCGGATGGCGTAAGCCATGCACGTAAAACGGTGTAGGAGTCATGGACGCACGCACCGAGTTGTTAATGGCAAACTCTGCCATGGGCAAGAACTCACTCCAACTCTTAAAGGAGTGTACGTATCCTCGAATTATCTCTTCGAGGACACGATTGGCTCGTTCCGTCTGACCATCTGACTCTGGATAATCAGATGTCGACATCTTCAAGCGCGTTCTGAGTGATTTGAACACGGAACGCCAGAAATCAGCCGTAAGGCGTGGATCTCTATCTGATACGAGTTCACGGGGCATCCCATGAAGTCGGAAGATGGTGTCGATAAAGACACAAGCACAGCCACTTGCCGTGATTGACTCTGGTACAGCCACTAGGTATACCATTTTGCTGAATCTGTCAACAAATACAAGAATACCCGTATTCCCGCGTGCGTCTTTGGGTAACCCGAAGACGAAATCCATTGAGATGAAATCCCAGCACTCAGTCGGAACCGGTAGAGGCTGTAAAGGTGCACGCCGTGAAGGACTTGACTTCACTCGTTGACAGGCTTCGCATGCGCGAACGTACTTTCGCACAAACTGATACTGGCGGGGTCAGTAAAAATCTCGACTCACCGTGAGATTTGTTTTCTCCCGGCCACGATGTCCTCCTATAGGAGCATCGTGATACTAGAACATGATCAGCAAACGCAAATCAGTATCATCTGGAATGACAACACGTAGTGTGTCACCAGTAATGGCTGCATAATACAGTAAACCGTTGCGAGTAGTGTATCGATCTGATGCAGATCGATACGCAGGCGACAATCGTTTCAACGATTCTCGAGATGCTTGGGAGAGATGTGTCAACAACTTCACAATCTCACCATCTTGGGCATACGCCCGCCTCACATCATCATACAACGTTGAAGATGGTATTGTGGACGCCATAATCGCAACAGTTGCTGTCCCACTGTTGGGTTTCCCGACTGGTTCAAAGTCGGGCTGACGTGAGAGTGCATCAGCGACGACATTAAGTCGTCCTGGTTTGTACTCGACCGTAAAGTTGTATTCTGCAAAGAATGACAACCACCGCGCCATTCTTTGTGAAAGGTGCGGGCTGTTCACTGCCGTGCGTAATGACGCATGGTCAGTGTAAACAATGAAGGGTGTATCTTCTGATGGATAGACTCTGAACTTCGCGAGTGCATACTTCATGGCAAGGAGTTCCTTGTCATGCACTGGATAGTTCCGCTCAGCTGGTTGCAGCTGACGCGACTGATAGCAGACGACGCGTTCAACGCCTTCAAGATCGTACTGCATTAATGCACAGCCGATTGCGAAATCGCTGGCATCACAGACCACATGAAATGGCCTGTCCTGATCGGCTATTGCTAGGACTGTGGATTGTATCAAGCTCGGCTTGATACCATCAAAGGAGTGTTCGATCGTTGGCAACTGAGTGATCTCCGAAGTCAACTTCGGAGGCGCAATCAGATCAAGTGTATAAGCGCCTACACTTGATCCGTCATTGACTAGTACATTCAATGTCTCTGTCATTTCCTGGGGACTTATTCCCTCAGGCCTCGAAGGACTTATTCCTTCGGCTTCCCGGGGACTTATTCCCGCGGGTTTCGGGAACTTATTTCCGCCGTATTGTAATCTTGGGACTTATTCCCTTTACTTCCCTCTAGCTGTGGTTGCGCAACCACAGCGAGATCCTCTACGAAAGACTCTCCAGTCGATCTAGGATTATCGTTTCGCTTAACCTGAGCGATCGATTGTTTCTCTTCTAGATGTTCCCCGCTAGGGATACATCTTTGTCCCAGTCCACCCGACTTATTCGAGTGGTGTACCTTCAGCGCAGCCTGTGTTTCCCTCACAGCCGCCGGAACTTTGCTCCGAAGTGTAACCGTTTGGTACACTAAGGTTTTGTGCCGTCGTACTAACGACCGTACCACAAGTGAGGCCATCGCACTCACTCACTAGCACATCCACACGCTTGTGGACGCTCCAAAACGTTTATCAGATGGCCATCTATGGAATAAGCGGCAGGCATCGTTACTGTTCGATGTTGCCAGTTTACCCGTGGTTCGTACCTTCTGAGCCACGGTATTCCAAGGATGACATCAAATTTGTCATCCAAATCCATTACGAAAAAGTCATCGTCATATTGGGTATCTTCCAGCGTGTAGTGGATCTTTACTATACGCTTCATGACGGTTACAGATGCGCCTGTCGCAAGACGTACCGTCATCCTCGTAGGAGGGTGTGTCACATTCAACAAACTTGAAGTGACCAACTTCTAGCGATTGGCGTCGCACAAAATTGTTGGACGCCCCACAATCGACTAGAGCTCGAAGGGACAACTTATTTGTCACTTCGAGTTTCAAGGTAATGAGTGAGATCTCATTACCTAGAGCAGCAACGCACAACGTTTGTGTGTTAGGAGCAACCTTCATCAAGAGGCCTGCAAATTGTCTTGACGTTGCTGGACCAGTAGGGTGCTTCGCACCTACTGATCCTGTCCGTTTTTTGACGGTCCATCCCGTTGTTGCGTCTTTTGCACCAAGAGCGGACCCGCGTCCGTGCCCCTTTCTCATGGGTGGACGGTCATTACGCCCAGTGTTGTGAGACACTGGACGAGGGGGGCAATACACTCGTATGCGTAGTGTCCTGTCTTCTGACATCTGTTGCATTTTTGCAACTTCTTGTAGTCTGTAGAGCGAGCCTTCTCGCTCTTTACATAACAGAATTCCATCGGCTCTGGAACTCCGCTGTCATGTCGTCTCGGTGGACGATATGATGTCGATCTGGCGCGAGCATGTCTCAGACTGAAGTCTTTCTGTTCCGCCATAGAAATGGCTCGTTCTAGTGAATCCAGTTCAAGCCGGAACAGGTGAGTCTTGACGGGACCATCCGCAAGACCCTGCATGAACACCGAAACCAACGTGTGTTCATCAACCGGGTCGGCACTTATACAACTCGTAAGGTGTCGTATATGTGGCGCGTAAGCGTGCACATCACGCTTACCCTGTTTGAGCTTCAAGGGTTCGGTTTGAGCTCTGAACTCAGCTCTAGGCGGTTCAAACGTTTGTCTGAGCCGCGACTTGAAGACTTCCAACGATCCAAACGCATATGGGTTGTGCAACTTGAGCCCCAGTGCCCAGAGTCTTGGCACGTCCTGCCAGATTTGACTGGGCAAATGCAACTTGCATATCCCCGTCGTCGATTCTACGCGCCCTTATGGCGTCATCCAATTCGACGAACCATCTCAGAGGGAGTCCTCTTCGACTCCCCTATACTTGGAGATGTCAATCTTCAAGGTCTCGGGTCGACGAGTGCATCGACCCGCCAGCAGCAACCTGCTGCTGTCTCAACAGTTCAAACTGTTGAGCATCCCTGTTCTCTCAACAACTCTGCTTGTTGAGAACCTTGTTGGTGAAGCAAGGCTACTTTTTCGCGTTCAGCGTCAAGTTCATTTAGAATGAACTTGGCGATAGTAACATGTTGGGCATCTCTATTGAGAGCCTCTAGCATGACGCTAACAGCATGGATGCCCATGGCTGAACCCATCCGTTCAACCGCATCCCATTCGACATCGCTCAAATGGGAGTAGCCATCACGCGTAGCGTGAAAGCTTTGGTCATCTTCATCGTCCAACATATTCGTGTTAGATGTGAACGTGGTCCTTGGACGGACTACGAAGTGCTACCAGGTGTAACGGGGCACCCTGAAGCCTGTACTGGTGACAGTACAAGCTACTTATTCTGATGACAGAATAAGGCGGTGCCTCGGAACTTCACGTACACTCGTACGTGCAGAGGAAGACGGTAAGGAGAAGCGAGTACTTGGTTAAAGTAAAAAGTAGAACTGTGTTTATCATAGTTAATGTCTGCAATAAATCGCTATTTATCTTCATCTGACTATGTCTAAATACAAATGTGTATATCAACTATCTGCTCACCACTCATTGCGTGCGTCTGTCGTGGCGCGTCTTCGTTGGTTGATATAATGGCCTATATCAACCAATTAGGAACTACTCGTAAGTGCTACAGAATATTTGTCCTTATGACAATATTCTGAGAATATAACTCTTATAGCTATATTCTATTAACAATTTCTTATAAATTGTTATGTAACGATTCACCCCGTTACACGCAGCAATGAGTGGTGAGCAGGTAGTTGATATACCCAATTGTATTCAGACATAGTTAGATGAGGATAAATAGTGGTTTATTAACAGACGTTTTCTATACTGAATACAGTTCTACTTTTAGTCTAACCAAGTACTCGCTTCTTCTTACCGTCTTCCTCTGCACGTACGAGTGTACGTGAGTTCCGAGGCACCGCTTTATTCTGTCATCAGAATCAAGTAGCTTGTACTGTCATCAGACAAGCTTCAGGGTGCCCCGTTACACCTGGTAGCACTGTAGTCCGTCAAGGACCACG